GCTTTTCTTTAACAAATTTCAGGTTTCTAAAACCTCAGATCGATCAGTTACAATTTCTTCTTCGGTTCATCAGTATCTTGAGTTTTGTATTATACTATTATCTACCAGTGACCATTGAAATTAGTATCAATTTTATTCTAAAAAAATATTTTGAAAAATTCTTGCTATGAAAAAAATATGTGTTCAAATTTTGATTAGCCTTTAGGAGAATAACCATCACCCCAAAAGTTTATAGCTTCCCAAGAACCTGACTGTAAATAAGTAAATTGGAGCTGCCAAAATTGATTGTATTTTAGATAATTGGGATCAATTGAAGCTGCCTAAATTTCTTGCATAAACCCTAATTTGGCTGTATGTATACGTATTTGTTCCAATCGTGTTTATCATACTGGCTAGTATAGGGGATCTTTAATAATAGTGCAGTGATAGTTCTGTACTTTTGTATTAGGATATGAGCTATTAGGCATCTTTTTTGTAGTCATATTGCAGATTTGAACACTGAAGAGGACAAGTTGAAGGTCAAGAATGTGGAGAAGAAATAGATGGAACACAATGGGTCAATTTAGTGGAGTAGAAATATATTATTGTCCAAGATATTTTACAGTTGTAATTGTAGTGGTTGTATTTGGACTATTCAGACCAACTTTTGTATTCTTATTCTATTACAAAAAAAAATAGGGAAAAATAATAAAAATACCCCAAACTTTGAAGGGGTGTAAGGTGAACACCCCAAACTTGCATATGTAATTTAAATACCCCAAACTTTATATAAAAAAGTTATTTTTGCACCATCGTCATGTATTATTTCTTTCACAAATCTAAATTTGTGGGGTTAATTGCATAATTTAAAATAGAAAATTTAAAGTGTTGCAATTATATAGATTGCGGGTAACATTATTTATTTTGCAATGGAAGTTTAGAATGTTGATTGTGTCTTCATGAATTCTAATATATTTTATTTTATGTAATTAACACCATAAATTTACATTTTTGAAAAAAATTAATACTTGACTATGGCACTAAAATAACGTTTTATACAAAGTTTGGGGTATTTAAATTACATATGCAAGTTTGGGGTGCTCATCTCACACCCCTTCAAATTTGGGGTATTTTAATTATTTCCCCCCAAAAATATGATAATGTTTCACAACATAGAGTATGATATTGTGTTGTTGTTTTGTAGTTTTTGACTTATTAATGTGTATTAATTTTTAAAATTTGATAAATTTAATATATTGTCATAGTATTCTTGAATTTTTGCCGTCCTATATATTTTGTGAATTTAATATGTTGTAGTTATTTTGGAACAGAAAAAGTAAACATATAATATATATTCAGCATCATGGACAGAAGGGTAAATTAGTCACTTGATCCGATTCAGACTGCACATTCAGGACTCAAAGTGAATAACTTGTTATTCTAGTGTGACTTAATCCAGACAGACGTCTTAATCAATACAGACATCTTAATCCAGACAGGAATTAATAGAAAAAAAAGTAAACAACCCCTAAATGCATGCTAGTTGTTTTTTACAGGCATCACAGTGACTCAGTTGGTTATTTATATGCATTTGTTATTATAGGTTAAGATCATCCACATGTAATGGCGGATCCAGGCATCAGAGCTCAGGGTATGCACATATATATAATATGTAGCAGTTAAAATAAAATTACGATGCTACATTACACCGACAACACGACCCAAAAAATAATATGGAGAAATACACATTCAAATTTGCTAAAAATACTGATGTAGAGAAAAAAGAGGACTCATGCCCAATTACTTAAAAATAGCTTAAAAGGTTGAAATTGGATGGAGGACAAAGAAAAAGGCCGGGGGATGCTCAATGCTCTGCTGGACTTTGGAGGGATTCAAAATTAAATTCAAATATTTGGGCTTAACTAGGCCTACAATGTAGGGCTGTTAACGAACCGAGCTTTTATCGAACTATTCGAGCTCGAGCTCGTTTTCGAACCTAACGAGTCGAGCTTAACGAGCTTCGAACTCGAACTCGAGCTGAGTTTTAAGTTCGAAAAATTAATCGAGCCGAGCTCGAACATAGTAGTTTTCGGCTCAGTTCGAACTCGAGCCTATCGAACACCCTAAAATTTTAAATATAATTTTTATATATGTCAAAATTTAAATATAATTAATATGTTTTTATGAATTTAAATATGATTATTAATGAACCGAATACTTGTCGAACCATTCGAGCACGAGCCTATTAACGAGTATCATCTAAAATTTTAAATTCGGGCATATTTATCGAGCTTATCGAGCGCTCGGTTCGAACATCGAACGCCTATCGAGCCGAACACGAGCCTCATTTGTAAAGCTCGCCGAGCTTTGAGCTCGAACCCGAACACCCCTTATTCCTTAACGAGCCGAATTCGAGCTTTGGGTGTTCGGGCTCGGTTCGACTCGTTAACAGCCCTACTACAATGTAGGAATTAAGGGTGTTAAAAAAATTGAAGTGATGCACTTTCAAGAGAATCGAACAAGGGACGTGTAGCATCTAGGATCCTTTTAAAGGACAAATAACAAGTTTTGAGGTGTAGCCTGTGCTATCCCTCAATATACTATAGGTCCGCCCCTGTCCACATGTTCATTTAGGAAGTAGAATAAGACTTTTGGAAGTGACATAAAAGTTATGTTTGGCACGCATAAGTCCGTGCCTTCTAACTTTTGTACTCTTCAAAAAGTCTCTAAAAGCTTCTAGTTGTATGTTTGACATGACAATTTTTAAGAGCTTTTCAAAAATTAAAAGATCTTTTTTCAGATGCTACGGGGAGTAGCATCTGAGAAAAGTCCGTGACTTTTAGTACTAATTAGTCCTAACAGCTGTATACCAAACCGATCTAAATCAAACAGTCAACTATTTACCAAACTACTATCACCTTTTTTAAGACCTTTTCAGTCACTAAAAGCTAACCGTTATTAAAAAGCTTAAGAAAGTATCTTTTCAGATAGTTGTGCTTGTGCCAAACATACTCAAAGTAGAGGTTCCTACATTACTAATTACTCATTCTTTATTTTCTCTTGAGAATAGTTAACTAAGAATTTCTATTGGACAATTCTTTCTAAAGAAATAATTGTCCAAAAAAAGAACTTCTATTGGAAAAAATAAACCATGTAATTATTCATGCCTAAAAAGAGGCTTTCGGATGCATGTATGGAAGTTCTTAGTCAACTTAATCGACTAATTGGTTTATTAATTTATTAGAAATTCTCAGTCAGCTCATTGGCTTAAAATCAAAGATTGAAGGTTATTTTTAAATAATGTAAATATGCTGAATAGTTTAGTGTAAAAAGGTGAAAATTCAAAATGGCTAGAGACCAGGGGTTTTGTGGAAACCATTAGCACAGTTTTATGCTGCGGGTTCGAAGGTGACAAATCCATTTGATTTAAAGTTCGTGAATATGTGACGAAGAAAGACCGAATTCCAAAAATACTAAAAAAAAATTCTCTTCAATAATTTATAATTTGTGTGCTTATATATTAAACTCTTAATATTTGTTATTATTTATTTATTTATTTATTTATTTATTTATTTATTTATTTATAATTCCTCTCATTTGTGTGATAAATTATACTATAATTTGTAAATGTTTGATAATTAACATTTAAAATAGATACATATTACATCTCGTGCAACGCACGGGTGAAATACTAGTAATAATAATATATTCATAATAATATTATTATAATAACAGTAATAATGTAATAAAAGTATTATTATAAATAATAATATATTATTATTAATATTATATAATAATAATTATAATAATAAAATTATTATATTATTATATATTATTATTATTATGTTATTATTATCATTATTATTATTATATGATTACTAAACTTATAATAATATTATTATTAATATAAATATTATAATTTTAATTTTAATTATTAGTATTATTACTAATATTATTATTATCGTTATTATTATTATTATTATTATTATTATTATTATTATTATTATTATTATAAGGGGTAATTATATTTATATTTATAATTATAAATTTAATTATAATTTTAGAAATAGATATTATAATATAATTACAATTAAAAATTATATAAGTAATTATAATTCGAAATATAATTAAAATTATAATTGTATCTATAGTTATGATTAGTCTAATAGGTGTACTTATTATAACTTTAATTTTAATTTTAATTATAATTATAATATATTTATAATTGTATTTAATTTATATTTGTAATTACAATTATAATTTTAATAACTATAATTATAAATATAGAAATATTCAAATCAGATTTGATCAGAAAGATTCAGATAAGATCGGAAGGATTCGTATCAGATTAGAAACATTCAGATCAGAAAGATTCAGATCAGATCAGAAAGATTCAGATCAGATAAGATCATATAAGAACTTAAAAAATTCAGATCAGAAACATTCAGATCATGTGAAGAGAACAACTTCTTAATCATTTGCCTTATATATCAAATTTTTATAAAATTTACATTTTTTTAACAAACTTGGAGCGGTTTTAATATAGTTTTTATTTATTAAAAAGGGAAAACTGTCAAATAGGTCCTCGAACTTTCATAAAAATGTCAATTAAGTCCTTCTATAGGAGGTTTTGTCCGGTCATCGCGATTTGGGGAAGTTCCCGGTGAAATTTTTTGATGAAATGTTTTGAGCATCTTACTCACCAAGTCTAGTTTACTCATACCAAATTTAAGCTAAAAATTCAATCGGGAACACATTCAAATTAATTCTTGAAGATAACTGCGCATTTTTGTGTTCTCGAATTAATTTGAATGCGCTCCCGATTAAATTTTTAGCTGAAAATTGGTATGAGTAAACTAGACTTGATGAATAAGATTCTCAAAAAAATTCATCAAAAAAATTTCATCGGGAACCGCCCCAAATTGCGAAGACCGGACAAAGTCTCCTATAGAAGGACTTAATTGATTTTTTTATGAAAGTTCAAGGACCTTGACAGTTTTCTCTCTTAAAAGTAATCAAAGCTTGAAGAAGGAATAAATTGTTTATCCTCCTTCAAGGTGGAACCTCTCTATGGACTATGGGACCATTGGGACGGAGGAGTATATTTTACAGTGAAAATTCAATCTCTCATGCCCGCGCCCCTGTTCGTCTTCCGCCTTGCCTGTCCTGTTTTCCTTGACCGACCTGGTGCTGCAGCTTGTAATCGGCGGGTTTGAAATTAAGAGTGCTGATTTTTTTATACTTAACCCAAACGAGGCCGTTATCAGTCCAGAGCCCAAATGCTGAAATTGTCTGAAAGGCCGAGGGAAGAGGACGTGAAGCAGTGAGGAGCTGATTGAGTGATTTGGGTCTGCCGATTGGGTGAGGAACGGCGAGCGTCTGGCCGTCTTTGCTTGAGCTTCAACTCTTCACTGTTTCAGGTTTATTATTTAGTTGTGCAGCTTGCGATTGATTCATTGTTTTAGTTATTCAACTAGTATAGTACCCGTGCATACGCACGGGAAATAGCAGTTGGTCCATATATTTTACTCATTATGTAAATAAACATTAAAATAAGAAATAACTTCTTAGATTATGCATTTTTTAAAAATAAGGTTACAATGAATATTATATAAGCCATAAAATAAATATTCAATGAAAAGTATATAAACGAAAATTAATTGACAACACTCATTAGAATTTGCTACCTATTACTTTTTATGATTAAATTAATTTTAAAATTAAATAATATTCTAAAAAAGTGTGTACAATAACTGAATGACATAAAGTTTAAGTGAATACAATAAATATTAAAACTAAAAAATATTAGTTAAATAAGACTTGTTAATCATTAGTTAAATTAGTGCTATCATATAAGAGAGAAAATTGTTCTCGCTCAATTGTTAGCCGACTTATCTTTTAGCACCTAAAAGCAATATGTATGAGAGAGATAATTTCACCGCTTAATTGTTAGCCCACTTATCTTATATATGAAAGCATGCATACATGTGTGAGAGAAAAGTTTTCACTCAATTTTTAGCCCGCTTATCATATACCTAAAAGCACTTGGCATGAGAAAGATAATTATACCACATAATTGTTAGCCAACTTATCTTATACTTAAAAGAACTACATATATGATAGAAAGTTCTCTCGTTCAATTGTTAGCAAACTTATCTTCTAATATCTAAAAAAACTACATATGAGATAGAAAATTCTTTCGCTAAATTCTTAGCAAGTTTATCTTCTAATATCTCAAAACACTACATAATAGAGAGAGAGAATTCCTCCACTCAATTATTATGAAGTTTATCTCGCTTAATTGTTAGCAAGTTTATATTCTAATACCTAAAAGCACTCCATATGAGAGAAATAACTATTCCACTCAATTCTCATGTTCAATTGTTAGCAAACTTATCTTGTAATACCTAAAAACACTACATAACCAAGCATTCCAGCTCAGCTGGTTGTGAGGTTACTGTGCCTAGTGGGAGGTCTCGAATTCGAATCCCGCTAGGCACACAAGAGTTGGAAACTCAATGGAGTGAGTTTCAGCCCTGATTACTCCAGGCTATCCCCCCCCCCCCCGACCCCCCAGAGCAAAAAAAAGGGGAAAAAAACTAAAAACACTACACATGATAGAGAAATTTTATCCACTACTTATGAGTGAGAAATATTCTCTCGTTCAATTGTTATGCGGTTTATCTTATACCTAAGGACATTACATATGAGAGAGAAATTCCTTTCGCTCAATTTTTAGTCGGCTTATCTTATACTTAAAAAACTACATTTGAGAGATAAAGTTTCTCCGCTCAATTGTTAGCAAACTTATTTATCTCCTAATCTTCTAATAATACCTAAAAGCACTATATATGAAAGAGAAAATTTCCCCGGTCAATTGTTAGCCTGCTTTTTCTTAAACATAAAGGCACTAAAAAATACTACCTCTGTCCCGGTGGACTTTTCCAAGTTTGAAGTAGTCAAGTATGTAATAAATAAGAAAAGTAAAAACTGTGTGATTGAGGTTTGTTCAGAGGAGAGAGAAATGTGAGGAACCACAAATTAGTTGTTTTAATAGAAAAGTGGCAAAGTTTTTTTGAACAACCCAAAAGAGAAAGTTGGCAAAGTCCAATGGGACGGAGGAAGTATTATTTTTCATGATGACAATCCATATGATTTTTTATGAAATAAAAAGAAGTGTTAATGTGAGCAATGTGAATGATTTTCATGAGCATAAGAAGTGCAATATTTGAACAAAAAGTGAAGCGTGGCGGAATTAAAATGATGGTTTTGCTTATCTTGAGTTGAACACTCATTTTAACCCACCCCAACTTTTAATGTAAATGCGTCTTTTGTTTAGCAATTTTGACATTACATTTTATCAACATTGCCATCATTTAAACGTGGTAACTTTTTTTAAAACATAAAGTTTTGTATAACATTTTATCACAAAGTGTGACATTTTTACAAAAGTGACATTGTTTTTAATATTGTGACATTTATATGTAAATTAAATTTCACACACTATCAATAGTGCGACATTTTTACAAAATCGACATTGTTTCCAATATTGTGACATTTTTTAAATAAAGCATGTGTAGCGATACACCTTTAACAATTTTATATCTTAATAAGGCATTTAACATTTATACGTAAAATTGCATATTCGAGTTTGAACCTCGCTAAACTTGGAGTTCAAAATCAAGCTCGAACTTAGGTAGTTCAAAAAAAGTTTTGTTCCGTAACAACTGTACCCTAAGCTAAATCTTGTGTGTGCAGCAATAGATTCTTTTGACTGCTTAGCTCACTATACATTTCATTCCTGGATTTGCCTCTGCTTACACGGTTACACCTTATAAAGAGATTAGTTTTACATAGTGATATTTTTATTAAAACGTGACATTTGTTCTAAGATTCTCATTCTTAATCCACCATAAGCAAGTACATTTACATTTTTGACCAATTTTCATTTATATAAAGAGACTATTCAAACATGTTAATATTTTTAAATAAAATATGATAGATTTAACATTATTACATTTTTAACATTGACATTCAAATATTACTTTTTCCATTTTACCAATGATATATTTTTTACCGCTCTGACATTGTTTTTTAATAAACCTTCAAATATTTTTTTAATTTTATATATGAAATATTGGTGTCATATGAAAGATCGTAAAAAATTATAATGTTTTATATATATACTTTAAAAATTAGAGTAAAAATGAAAAAGTTGTAACACTTTGAAGAAAATAGTAATTCTAATACAATGGGCCCCATTAATATTGATGCCATGCACGTTTTATTATGGAGTGATACAAATGGTTATCTTCATAGAGTTGGTTCCGTATTATTATTAGGGAGTATTATTATTAATTAGTCCTTGAATTTGCCACTTGACATTTGTAAAGGAGTGAAATATGGAGAGAAGGACACGTAGGATTCATTAACGGTATAATTGTCTTTTAATGAGCTATTCATTAAGAGTTAGCCAGCTAACTCTTGAGCGGAAGAATTTTCGCTCTGCTACGTGGTACCATTAGGTATAAGATAAGCGGACTAATAATTGAGTGGAAGAATTTTCTCTTTCATATGCAATGCTTTTAGGTATAAGAAGATCAGCTTGCTAATCATTGAGCAAAAGAATTATTTCTCTCATACGTAATGATTTTTGGTATAAGAAGATACGATAAGATATGCGGACTCATAATTGAACGGGATAATTTATCTCTCATATGTAGTGTTTTTAGGTATAAGCAAACAAATAATTGATCGAGAGAATTTCTTCTCATATTTTTTACACTCATGACCTTTTAAACTTATGAGAAGACATTTGCCTAAAATTATCACCTATGTTATTACAATGAATAATTATCAAGCTCTATCACTGCAAAAGGATGAAATATTCCTACCTAGACGGGTTTTAGACTTTTAGTCATGTAAAGTTTTATATATGTGGCATTATCCAGAGTTTAGAAAATATGGATTGATGATTTCAATACTACGTACATGATAAGAAATGAAAATCATAAGACATTACCATTCCCCGTGCATACGGGTACTGTGCATAAGAAATGATTTCAATACTACGTACATTTTTATATTTAATTACTTCGTGAATAAAAGTATATACGATAGTATATAGACCAATTGTTTTTCCCCGTGCATACGGGTACTGTGGGTACTGTGCTAGTTGATATGATACAGGAAATAGGTGGATCATATGAGTTAATATAAGAGTAAATAAACTAACAACCAACACTACGTACAATATGATAAGAAAGCTTTCTAGAATGAGACCGGACTAATTATTTGAGTAATAGATAAAATTCAGAGGCGTACTGTTGCAGCTAAACTCATGTTGCAACTACAAAAACCACACATAGACATGTTGCAGTAAGAGAAATCATACATATACTCTCTCCACTCATTTTGACAAACTAAAATAACACCAGGAAGATTAGCCAAAGGTTACCATATAAAATATTCTGTTAAGAAATTACGTACTCTTTTTCTTTTTCAGTTTTTCACACTATTAGATATGAAATTTCTATTTCTCCAACAAACAAAGTGGTTCAAATTCACAATCAATTTTTGAATCGATTGTAATTAATGTTAGCATCACATGGCAGCAGGTATAAAACTTGAGTGCATTAGAATTATGTTAGCATAAAACGTAGAATAAGGAACAACCAATAAATTATAATTTCTTGTATTACATGTCAAAGAGTCCATACGGAAGAACATAATCCCAAAGAAATGCCCAAATTTGAAAAAAGTCATAAAAGCTTGTAAAGTACTTACATTGTACTCTCATTTCTCAATCTGGACTGGCAACATGGCAGCATTAGGGTTGGTTTGCAACTCCTTTTAAAAAAGAACTTCTCAGCTTTTGACTTTAAAAAAACAATTATTTTCCCAAACACTACAATTTTTATTTTTCTCGGCTTCCGCGTCAAAAGTGCTTTTACTTTTTCTATTACACAAAAAGCACTTATTTTACCAAACACTACCCACTTTTACTTTTCAAAATCACTTTTTTTCTCAAACACTATCAACTTTTATTTAATCACTTCTCCTCATTTCATTAAAAAAACAACTTTTTAAAAGCAGAAGCTGTTGCAAACAGACCCTTAATGTAACGTTTAAGGTGGTGTTGTAGTGACCCGGTGACTGATTCATGACTTGGATGCATCCTCTTGCCAAAGGCATGATAAATCTTGCACCCTATACCCTATACACTCTCAGCGAGAGCCTTCCGTAGATCCTCATGCTATAGGGATGCCAATATGCACAGCGGCGGACGCAGGATTTCCCGATAGCAGGGGCGGCAGTAGAAGAATATACATACAAATACATATATATTAAAAATTTCGGGGTAAATATACCTAGAAAAGGAAATGCACCAGGCTGCCGCCCCTCATTGCCCCCCTTTGTGTCCGCCGCTGAATATGCACCAGGCTTGCCTATATGTGAAAAGGAAATAAAAACATGTGGTAAATAAACATAGATTGTAGGCTTCAAAGAAATGTAAATGACTACAATGAGATGTACTTCTTTTTATGGAAGGAGCAATGAGATATAATTCTGTAATCTAAAAAAGAAATAAAGTTTAGTTTCTATAATAAGTCACATTAGACTCCAAACAAAACGAAGAAGTGCAATAAAGAACACACACCCACATTATTAGTGATTGTGTAAAACTTTAGTTCTAAAAAACATGAATTATATAAGTTAAAAACCAAAACATAAAGTTTGACTTTCTTAGGATTAGTCTGAAATCTTGATTTGTTAAAAAGGTAATAGAACTTAAAATATAGTATGAGAATATATACATGACTGGACATGTTCCTAGCATACTGTTTGTTGAAGAAGAGTGAGGAAGTTTTCCCCGGAGAAGTTTTTATGTCGTCCTGTGACATTTAGCTATCATAGTACACTAAAAATAATGATCTTACATTATAAGTACTATAGAACTTGTTGAGCACAACATGAAGATTAATATAACTCCATATATGCCTAAAGTAACTCATTTTCAAACTTCTCTTTACTACCTAAGAGAACAATAGGCTAAAAAGGGAAAAAGATTAGGAAATGTAATGCCTCTTAAAAGGGAGTTTCATGGCAGACACATTAGCACTATTTGTTTTTTAATAAGAAATTATGACTTTTCTCTCTGAAACTTTTGGGCATTAACATACTGGAATACGATTAAATTACCACCAAAGTATGAATGTATGATCATCTAGTTATAGTATAGAATAGAATAGAGATCACCCCATTGTGTGTTAGGTATTCTACACACAAAGCATACAGTGTTTAAAATAAATAACAAAAAAATGAGGAAAATGCAAAAGAAAAGAACAAAATATGGAGAGCGAGATTAATTTTAGAGGACATCCATCAGAATAATATAGTGTTTGAACGTCAAATATATGCTTAATAATAAGTCAGGACTCAATTAAGCATTTCATCAAACGCCTTATATGCTTAAAAATGTATACTTGTAGTGATAGTAAATGACAAATTTGAAACAGAGAACCGACAAACAAAGATTAATAATTTTCTTGTTGAGGAATGTCTCTAAGGATTGCATAAAAAATAGAGGCGCCTAAGCATACAATCCTAAACCATCTTAGTTCATAAAGTAGAGGTTGATAGTATTAGTTAGATTTTCTTTTTAAACAAATGAGATGTTTTTTAAGGTCATTGTCCAGAAAAAGGTGGCATGTTGACATGGATGAACGTAAAAAGAAAACAAACTCCATATCAAATGGAAATATCATTTAAACCTTTTCTTTTTTTTTTTGGTAAAATCATTTAAACCTTTTCTGCTAATGGATGAAAGTATTACACTTCTTGCTATCAATCTTTTTTGGAAATATCATTTAAACCTTTCATCGAACAGAACACATGCAAGATAAACTGGATACACGATTCATATCCTAGCACACTGAATTTCAATATCATTTAAGAATGATAAATTTTGAAGAAGCAAAATACAAAAATAAAAATGAACAAAATGATGTAAAGTTTCAGTGCTTACCAAAAACATGTGAGGGGAAGACCATAATCATGAACAACCTTTGAAAGTACTCCATTTATAAGGTGAAAAGGATTTAGGGTAGAAACTTTGGCGATCCATTGAGGTTGTTGTTGCAGAAACTTGATTTTTGGCGAGTGTTTATGCGTTGGAAAGGAGTGAAATGTGGGGAGGTGAGAATAATACAGGGACGATACCATGTCTTGTGTTGGTGAGGAAACGAATTTGAATTGTCGTGTTTTCGAGAATTTTTCAAGAATGAAGCCACGTGGCAGTAATATAGCAAGGGAGTGAAATGTGGTTAGATAGACACGTAGCCTATTTTAAGGGTAAAATAGACCTTTTATAAGCTATCTCTTTTCTTATATATAAATAGATTTCGGGAGATTTGGGTTGCAATTAATTTATATATATAAGTTGCGCTTCAGTCTTTGAGACAATGTTGAGAAATACTTTGTTTTTTCTTCGTATTATTTAGCTTTTTAGCACTTTAGACTTGAGATTGATTAACTTTTTTAGCTAAAACTTTTGTCCTTTTAATTATTTAATTGTCAGGTTTTAAAGTTTCATAATTGTAATAATGTCTAACTACTTTAGTGATTTAAATAGTTTTACTTGTGTGAACAACTTCATTTAATAAAAAGACTAATGATTTATAGTACACTATATTATATTGTAATAGGTATGTAATTAATCATCGAATTAATATTACAATGTATTTATGGGTTTTGTATCTTTTTATTTGTTATGTCTATACGACAATTTGTGATGCGGTGTAGTGGGTCTTCTAAATGATCTAACGAGGTGAAATTCTATCCAAATGGTGCCGTGGCCGATTCAGGGCTGCGTACACCTATGAATGACATATTAATATTATGTATTTCTCATACTTCTTTTATCACAATTTCTCATACACAAATTCAGTATTTTGAGTTTTAATGTATTTCTTAGCCCCCACAAGTGTTATTCTGCAATTTAATCCTAGTCGTCCTTGTGCCTGCTTTTGTTGATTTTACAGACCTGAAACAATATGGGATTACTGAAGAAGTTAAGGGAGTGTCTGCATTTTATTTACACATTGCAATTCTGGAGAATGGCAATCTTCTGGACCCTTGCTCTGGTTTTTTCCTACTTGAAGTTGTATTCCCAAAACTTTTTATTGAAGAAATCTAAACGCTATCCACGCTGCTCTCCAAAAGATAGTACATATGTCTCAAAATCTCTAACTAGGCCAATCTGCGTAATAACTGGGGTAGATTTTCTGTATATACTCATCATCAATATAATGACTTGTTTCAGTTCTGATGCATTTTGCAAATTGCAAATATGTATTTATTTTTGGTGCTATATGCTGGAATGAGCTAGTATGCCGTTTTGGGTTTCACATGCAGGCTACGTCTGGTTTGGGAGCTGCTGCTGCCAATGTATTCGCCAATGAGGGCTTTTATGTTGTTCTTGGTACTTCACCTTTCTAGTTTCCTCATAGTAAAATCATTTCCATAATAGATAATGTCATTAGTCATGTTTAAGTAACTCGATAGTATATCTTTCATTAGTTATTGCTCATTCTCTTGGCAGTTTAAAGTATTAGGAAAAAAAGAAAACATGTGCATTAAGGGCTGAAGAATACTTTAAATCCACGAACTTAGCTTCATAGTGGTCATGACTCATTATGTTTAAAAATTGAAGAGGAAATTGTGGAAATAGCATCAGTTTCTGCCATTTGTTCCAAAATTGCAATTTGATTTTCCTTTTATCACTGCAGTAGGGAGATCATCTGAACAGCTATCAAAGGTTTGATAATGGTCCTTTTGTTATTGCTAATAAGTAAAAGGGAAAACTGTCAAATAGGTCCTCAGAACTTATATAAAAAAGTCAATTAAGTCCTTTTTTAGGATGCTCTGTCCGGCCGTCGCGATTTGGGGCGGTTCCTGGTGGAATTTTTTGATGAAAATTTTTGAGCATCTTATTCATCAAGTCTAGTTTAGTCATACCAAATTTGAGCTAAAACTTCAATCGGGAACGCATTCAAATTAATTCTTGAAGATAATTGTGGAGTTAAATGAGCAGTTATCTTTAAGAATTAATTTGAATGCGTTCCCGATTGAAGTTTTAGCTCAAATTTGGTATGAGTAAACAAGACTTGATGAATAAGATGCTAAAAAAATTTCATCAAAAAATTCCACCGGAAACAACCCCAAATCGCGATGGCAGGACAGAGCATCCTAAAAAAGGACTTAATTGACTTTTTTATGAAAGTTCGAGGACCTATTTGACAGTTTTCCCTAAGTAAAAATCCATTTTTTTCATTTTAGCATTCAATTTTTTGTGTGTCTAACTTCGTTTCAGGTTACATATGATATCAGGAAAAATGGGGTTGATGTTTGCCTGAAAGCCTTTGAGGTTGATGTAACTTCCTTTAAGTCGATTTTCAAGTTCAAGAGGTCACTTCAACAGTGGCTGCTTGATTCAAATTTGCATCCTTCTATTCAACTCCTGATAAATAATGCTGGAATCCTTGCAACAACCTCTCGAGTCACTTCTGAAGGATATGACCAGTAATTACTTTAAAACACTTATACAAGTTACAAGTAATTATGAGTAGTAAACTGTTTTGTCAGGTTTGATTATACTTTTCATTAGATGCTTGCTACCCCCGCAGTCTAATACACGCAGAATTATACAAGAAGGTTGTAAATGCATGGCTGAAATATGTTATTTTGCCACCATCAATTTGCCACACGCGTCTGTGCATAGTAGTCAAAATCGTGACCTAGGTCATAGGATCGTACAATTATACGATCCCCACTACCTCCTACGATCCCTTTTTACTGAAAATCGTAAACTAAACAATATTGGCGGGATTGCCGAGCGGAACCATAGAATCGTTGAAGCGCTGCTGGATTGCAATTTATTAGCTATAATTGTCGTAAATTTGAGAAACTTCCCTGTTCAGGAATCCTCGATCTTCCCTGTCGTAAATTTTCTTTTGCATCTGGTCCACCTCCTTCTGTGTCAACCTGCAGGGCTGCATTGCGTTGACAGTCACCTCCTGGGCTTCTTCCTTATCTTTTGTGTCGACCTTCTCCTTCCATGGACCTCCAGTAGTTATTATTTAGTTAAGCTGCATCCTTATCTTTTGTTGATCAACACAATGCTTTTAGTTTTTTATTTGTTTGTTACGGAGTATACTATTATGTACTTGTATTACTTTAATCTATGATTTTACTATTTTTTTTATATTTATTAATGATATAGGACTCTATGTTTGATAAGAATAGAAAAATAAAATCAACGGGGTGAACCGTTGCCCAGATAAACAACGATAAATAAATACCGTTGCCTAGAGCCAAAAGGCTAAACCCACTTTTATTCCAAGATGAGCATGAATGAATCCTAACAAGGTGTTTAAATACCCATCTACTAATTCTTAAACTAGGAAACAAAATCCTAGAAATCCTAATCAACTCCAACTAGGAAACAAAATAATTAAGATCCTAATCAGCTCCAACTAGGAAACCGAATAATAGAGATCCTGATCAACTTTAAATAAGAAACAAATAATAGAGATCCTAATTAACTCCTAATAGGAAACAAATCAGGATAATTAAAAAGAATAAATATTAATTAAGCATCCCGCAACCAGCCCACGAAGGTGGGCTCAAGCCCGTCCCCGCCTTCAGTAAACCCACGGAGGATTCTGCCCCTGTTCTTCCAAGCCCAGATTCTGCTTCATATCAATGTTCTACCTATTTAAGTCTTACGTACCTAAATTAATTTTACGGCTTTACTATTTTTACTTTATTACGAAGCAATTAATACAGGGCTTTGTTGAGTCTGTTCTATCTATGTTAGTCTTGCACTCTTGCATACCTAAATTTATTTATGACTACTATTTTATTATACTAATATAGGACATGTTCTGTCTATTTAGTCTTTCATACCCAATTTAATTTATTACTTCGATACTTTTTTAATATAGGACTATGTTCTACCAAAGTCTTATATGACTAGTATATACGTATGAATCATGTTCAAATATCTAATAAAAAATTTATATATGGTAGGATTTTACGATCCGAGTCATGATCCTACGCTTCACCATCTTTAAGTCCCCTTCGGGTCCTATGTAGGATCTCAAATTTGACTACCATGCATCTGTGTAATATTCACCCTGTTTCTTTGCTTATATGACCATCACACTATGTATGGGCTGTTTACAGAGTATGCTATATAGCTCTAGTTAATGAACTAGAGTTATATGGTGTACTCTGTAACTTCAATGTATTTTTTTCATGTAAACACAGGTTTTCATGCAACATAGCTAAGTAATTTACCTTTGGAGTTTGGATGTAACTACTAGATACATGGTATAATTTATTAGTTGTAAGTTTGGTTGGTCTCACATTCCTTTTATTTATGGGAAAAAAGATGCATATAAAGCATTGTATTACTCCAGTGTAATTAGATGAGTTCTACGGCACATTCAGTTTAAAGATTTGATAGATGCCTGTCACTACTTATACTTATTTCAGGATGTTCACAACGAACTATATTGGTGCATTTTGTATTACCAAAGTCCTGCTTCATTTACTGGAAAGTAGCCCAATCCCTTCACGTGTGGTTAATGTCACATCCTTTACACATCGGAGTGGTAAGAGTAAACCTAACTCAATATCTCTTGAGTTGAATGTCCTGTAGATTTTTGTAATATCTAGTGGCTCTGATGTGAGTTTTATACAAGGAATTGCTAGAAGACTGTTTGATGAGTGGTTGTTTCATTTTCTTCCTCTCTTTCTTCAATTCAGTATGGTCCATGCAGATGGACAAAGGAGCTATCAAGTGTCCATCAAAATCAAAACAGTACCCCTATGCAGAAATCTATGAGTATTCAAAATGTAAGTGTACTCTGTTTAAGGTCATGCATTGTCTGTTGTTCTAGCCACCTGCTGATATATGCACCCAATGGGTGACAGTATGCATTTTGTTGTTTTCATATGAACTGCATCGACAAGTTGGCATGATGGAGAAACGTCATAAGCTCTCTGTAGTGTGAGTGTTTATCCTAATTCCGTATTTAATCTTAACAAGAAAGAAACAAATACTCCTATAACATGGTATGATATAATTAACATCTCAATTTTCCCATTCATTTCTATTAAAATTGCTCTCCATTAATGGCACCTGACAACTGTGTTATGTGCCTTTTTTAATTCTATATCAACGAATTCACGTTCTTTTTCAATTGCTATAAAAGAGCTGTGGATCCTGGAGCCGTGAAAACCAATATTATGCGAGAAATTCCTTCATGGATTTCACAGCTGTCATATGCAGCCTTGAAAATTTTGGGTATGCTTCAAGCACCTGAAGATGCAGTAGGCTCTATTCTTGATGCAGCACTTTCCCCGCCAGTAAGTTTTTGCATAAACACTAAGCTGTGAGTTTTACTACTTGTCTATAGCTGATTAGCTGCATGTTGCATACTTTGTTAAGTTATTGCTAATCTCATGGGAGCCTTTATCTCTTTGGACTTGATACATTCATACATTTGTCAGACTTTCCCCCGACTCCTCATTACCTCAATTGAATGTCTGTGTTATTACAGTAGCGTAGAAAGTATAAAGAAAGTCATAATAAAAGCATAATAGTAATCAATTGCTTCTTGCTGTAGTAATATATGCTTGAGAATTGAAGAGATACCCTTTTACTTGTATTTGTATGTGTGTGTTTAATTCAGTGGCATAGCCAAAAGGATAAGTTGGACTAAACCGGCAAAACAGATTTTTTTAGAAAATCTTTTACATATTTTTTCTACACCTGGATTCAAAGCATTTACTAAATTTGGGGTGGGCCGGGCCTAGTATGGCCCCCTCTTAGCTGAGCTCCAGTGTATATGGACGTGTGTGTTCTCCATCTCATTTCAGGAAACATCAGGAGTCTACTTTTTTGGAGGAAATGGAAGAACACTTGCATCATCCGTGCTTTCCTATGATTTGAAAATGTCCAAGAACCTTTGGGATACATCAAATGACCTGTTCCGGGAATTACAAGTAGCTCTTGAGAAGCCTGCAGATATTCACCCTTGACCTAAAAAATACTTCGTATTACTCAGTAAGTCAGTAACAATCATCTGCATCAACTCCCTTAATCCAACTATTCTGGTTCATTTAGTGTCAGTTATTTCTCTAACATTATTTACTACTATAATGCGTAGATAAAGATAATGAACAAGTATAAACCCAGTCCATCTTCTTTGGTTGTTTTTAGAGCTTCTCTTGTGAGCTTGATTTACATAGATAAAAGTGATCTGATTGTAGAACCATAAACCATATGGCCATAACTCCCGTAGCCAGTGTTTTCATCAGGGTGGACCAAGTTCAGTTCCGGTATAGTTCCAGTTTATACAGAGAAATGATTAACAACTACTCTGTCTTCGAATCTCAGTTCTTTGGCGCCTCAAGATCGTGTTTTATTTGACAAGTTGATTAACATTTACTCTGCAATCATGTACAACCATTGTCAATGTGTTTAAAAAACTCGTGTTTTTTTTATTGCCAATGTGTTTAAATTGCACTATTATAGCACGTATTACCACCCGTCATCCTCAGAACAGTTTCTAGTGGTATACGGTATACCTCAAAGGTAGATCTTATTCGTAACAGACTGTAAGAGATCTTGAAGATCAGAATATATGAGTGCAAGACCTTGGTTTTCGGTTTGCGGACTGGTTGGGACCAAAGTCCAAAACCGGTTCACGGGATCGGATCAAGACCTTGGTTTTCAGTTCGGGCATGAGACCGGTGCTGTTGGGCGGGGGCAATGGATCTCCTGCTTAATAAAGCTATAAATGTGTACTCGCTTATTTTCCAAAATTGTCCTTGTGGAATTGTGGTATTAATAAATGTAGTACTCAAGTGGGACAATAAAAGGGTAAATAAATAGTAAGTGGGTGTAAAATACATCACTTTTATAAAGTTATGCGAGGATATAAGAGCATCTCCAATGTTATAATGTTCACGGTGTACATGTGGCATGAGTGATAGCCACATAAATATTAGCAAATAAATTATTTCTCTCCTTATTTGAATGATTTTATACAATTTTGGTAAGTTTTTCCCTGCAATTAGGCCTGGACTCGGGCCGGGCGGCCCGACCCGGAACCGGCCCGGCCCGGCCACTGTAGCAACCGGCCCGGCCCGGTGGCCCGATCCACCGGCGGTTCGGGTCGAACCGGCCCGGTGGTTCCCGGTTCCGGGCCCGGGCCTTCCATATGGTGAACCGGCCCGGCCAGTTCGGGCCCGGTCCTGGCCGGATTTTAATTTTTTTTTTTTTGAAAATTTTTTTAAGTCTTGGGTTGGAATAGGTATTTTGGGCCATTTGAGGTGGTTTGGGGTTGAGGGGGAGGGGTAGGGGATTAAATAGGAGAACAAAAAAAAAAAATTAATTTGGCCGGTTTGGCCCGGCCCGGCCCGGTTTGGCCCGGAACCGGAACCGGCCACCGGCGGTTCGGGCTCGGGCCTCCCCTTTCCTGGCCCGAGGCCCGGCCGGGCCCAGGCCCGAACCGGGCCCGAACCGGCCCGAGTCCAGGCCTACCTGCAATGTTAACAGCAATGTCAATATCTAGACGGTCTCCTTGACAGTGTGGAGAAAAACTTACCAAAACTGTATAAAATCATTCAAATAAGGAGAGATAATTTATTTACTAATATTTATGTGGCTATTTTTCATGTCACGTGTGCATCGTGCACATTTTACCATTGGAGATGCTCTAAGAGTACATGAATAAAAAAATTTAGGGAAAAGGTGTAAATAGGTCCATGTACTAACCAAAAAAGATCAAATAAGTCCTTATTTATGAGGCTCTGTCCGGCCATCGCCATTTGGAGTGGTTCCTGGTGGAATTTTTTGATGAAAATTTTTGAGCATCTTATTCATGAAGTCTAGTTTACTCATACCAAATTTCAGCTAAAACTTCAATCGGGAAGGCATTCAAATGAATTCTTGAAAAATGTTAGAAGCGCAGTTATCTTTAAGAATTTATTTGAATGTCTTCCCGATAAAGTTTTAGCTGAAATTTGGTATGAGTAAACTAGACTTGATGAATAACATGCTCAAAAAAATTCATCAAAAAATTCCACCGGAAACCACCCCAAATGACGACGGCCGGACAGAGCCTCCTAAATAAGAGCTTATTTGACCTTTTTTGGTTAGTACATGGCCCTATTTGCACATTTTCCCAAAAACTTACCAAATATAGAAAAAATTAGTAATATGAACTTTATTTTGAACAACTCAAAGAAGAGTTTTATTTTATTATTTTATATGCAAATTAACTTTGATCAAACTTTACGCACTATTAATTTAGCAAGTACTTTATTTCTAATTCTTTAGTTCTCGTACGAGTAAGAATGTGTGTAGGGACTAAAAGTAGAGATTGTGAAATATATTATTTTCTTAGGTTATGACACTTTCCAAAAAAGTGCAATATTACATACTACTTCCGTCCCATTTTATGCGTCTCCTTTGATTTTGGCACAATTTTTAATAAAGTGGTTTAAAAGGTAAAAGTTGTTGAGATTTGAATATAATAAAATGAAATATTGTAAACCACATATTTCTTTCTCAAAAGAGAAAGGTGACACTTATTTTGGGATAATTCAAAAAGGAAACTAGGAAAGTAAGACGGATAAAATGGGACGGGGGAGTAATATATATAGGAAAGTATTACCTTTGTCCCACCCTAAGTTTTTTTATTGAAAAATGACACGATTATATAAAATATAATTAAATAAAGTAGTTCACGTATATTTGAGAAATATTTTGATGTGCATATAACAGAGTGGGGTCATTGATGATAATTGCATTATTAGAGGTATACTATTTTTAAACTTTAATGATTAATTTGTTATTTAAACAAAATAATGTCAAAACTAATCTTGGACATAAATAATGACAAATATAGGACTAGTTTTAATCTTGCACAAAAAAGAGACTACTTGTTCTTGAAAATACCTAAATATCCCTCCTTTCAGCATTCTATTTCTCACGATCACAGCACGCAAACAACTCCCAAAACATGGTCACATTGCACCTCCATGGCAATAGAGCAAATCTTACCTCCATGGCATTGATCGAGCACCGCAATTAGGCGTTCTGCTACCACATTTGTTCCTCCGCCGCTGCAACCGTTCGATCTCTGAAAGCACCAAGTTTCTTCTCCTTCTCCCAAATTTTTGCTTCGATGGCAATGACCATCATCTTCATCATCGTTGAGCTTGTAAATCGATGGGTGTGCAAATCTATCGACGGATGGCATCCAACGACAATGGTGCAATTGATCTAACAATGAGACTGTTGGGCCAACTACAAGTCGCCCTGCTTCACGACAGTTGAAGAAGCATGAGGTAAATTACCCGTGATCTAGAGCTGGGAGCAGTGGTGTTCGCACTGAAGATTTGGAGGCATAATCTCTACGGGGAGACATGTCATATATATACTGATCATAGGAGCTTGAAGTACGTGTTTACTCAGAAAGAGTTAAACATGAGACAGAGACGGTGGATGGAGTTGATAAAGGACTACCACCTAGTTATTGAGTACCATCTAGGTAAGACAAACGTTGTAGCAGATGCCCTCAGTCGGAAGAGTTCGTCTGGGGCATTGTTGACTAGTTTGAGGGCATTGAGGGCCCAATTGGATGTATCTAGCGATGGTGCCTTATTGGCACGATTTGAGGTGAGACCGACCTTACTTGAGGAGATCAAGAAGGGTCAAGAGACTGACGCAGAACTTATGAAGGTCCAGGAACGCATGCAAGCGAGACCGGTGGAGGATTTCAGGGAAAGAGATGATGGTCTCTTGTTATTCCGTGACCAAGTGTGTGTACCGTCAGATGACGAGCTCCGAAAGTCCATCTTAGAGGAGGCTCATTCATCGCTTATGCCATGCATCCGGGGGGCACGAAAATAATGTACCGTGATTTGAAAGAAAGTTATTGGTGGCCTGGTATGAAGAGGGAAATAGCCGAATACATCAGTCGATGCCTTACTTGTCAGAATGTCAGCAAGTTAAGGCAGAACATCAGCATCCAGCTGGCTTATTACAACCACTTTCCATTCCTGAATGGAAGTGGGGACATGTGACTATGGATTTCATGGTAGGTTTACCATGGACAATTCGGAACTATGATGCAGTTTGGGTAGGCTCACGAAGAGTGCACACTTCTTGCCTATCAACATTACCTACCCACTTGAGAGGTTAGCCAAATTGTATACGGATGAGATCGTGAGGCTACATGGGGTTCCAGTGACCATTGTATCCGATAGAGACCCACGATTTTGGCCAAAATTTCAGGAGTCTATGGGAACGAGGTTGAAGTTCAGTACTGCTTTCCACTCACAGATGGATGGGCAGTCTGAAAGAGTCATACAAATCTTAGAAGACATGCTGAGGGCTTGTGCATTGGAGTTCCAAGGAAGTTGGGACAACCACTTGGCACTTGTGGAGTTTGCCTATAACAACAGTTATCAGGCAAGCATCGGCATGCCTGTAAGGAATAAATGTAATTAGATTTTGATGATGCTAGGATATTAGAAATTTTAGAGTACCCCTACTTAGACTTTATGTATTAGAATTTTTAGTTGTAAGCATTAGTATAGTCGACATCAGAGTTGCTAAGTGGATCTGATCAGAGCTGCTATATGAGAACTGCTTTCAGAGTCGCTTCGGAAGTCATGAGAGTCGCTCATCAGAGAAGCATCAGAGTTGCTCTTCAGAGCTGCTCATCAGAAAGCCATCAGAATACTACTCATCAGAGAACCATCAGAGTTCGATGTAAAGTTTCATCAGAACTCAACGTCAGACAGGTATCAGAGTTCCTTATCTAAGTTCATCAGAATCCAAGGTCAGAACATCATCAGAGAATCTCATCAGACTTGGACGAACACTTAGACAAATTTGAAGCTACGTTCAACGATCAAGAAATCTTCAACGGCTAGAAGATCTGTCATCTAAGGAAAGCATTCAATGCTCATTAATGGAGCCTGATACGCTGTGGAGTTATTACTGATGATTGGACCGAGATTTTTGGAAGATACTTGACTAAAATAGAAACCTGCCAAAACTGTGGGTCCAACCGGTCAAATCCACAGTATGCGCATTCAATGCAGTTGTCTCCTCCTCCAACGGGCAGACAACCCCAGTATAAAAGATACTCGATGAAGAACAACCGGATAACTTTGCTCACCTCAACATTCAAAAAGCCCTCTTGAGATTCAAACTCTACAATCATCAACAAGACAAGCTTACGTTGGGAAGATTCAAATATCCATATCCTCCAATCCCAACACACAGCAAAGTTCATCCTGTTCTTCAACCTTCAAGAACTTCAACTACACATCCTTTGTAACGAAGCAAGTTGGAGAAAACTCTGTTTTAAAGAACATCTTCTGCAAAGAAGGGCGTCCAAGTAACTGCAGTAGCGAAGTGGTGATACTTCCGGGAAGCTGAGTGAAAGGACCAGCCATCAGGACGTGGAACTGCATCCTGGGTGGCAACTAGGCTTGAAGAAGACGTGGAGAGCATCTTAAGTGCTAGGGAACTAAGGCTTTGTAACTGACGCTTTACAACTTAGTGGAACAGTGGACTAGAGGAACGCGTTGTTCCTTGAACCACTATAAAAACCCCGGTGTCATTTACTTTACCGCACTTTAATTTCTGCACTTAGGACTAAACTGTTTAACTCCATAGAACTTGGACTCTGTGTTCAGCAGATCGTGTTCTCAGAGTTATCAGAAAGGCATTTGCCATAGTTTCTCTTGAGGCTACCCGGAACTCTTATCCGCTGCAAGACCAGTTCTGATCATCAGAACTCGGCCCTCTCTGATAAGTCAACTCTGACTTAGAGAAAAGTTGAAAAACTTGAATCAGTCTATTCACCCCCCCCCCCCTCTAGACTGATTACCAACTCAAACGGGACCAACAATGCCCCCATACGAGGCATTGTATGGGAGGAGGTGCCGTACACCGTTATGCTGGGACGAGGTTGGCATGGCCAAACTCGAGGG